AGAATACCCGTCGGAAAACAATAACTTGATATAAATAACAAATATTCAGCGATAAAGCTATTGCCTAAATGGCATGGGATTATTGACATACAGTTGAAAATATTATTGACAGGATTCTGGTACCATTGGAATGGATGGGATCTTTCGCAGTTGATTGGGGTGGTAGAGCTTCACGTAGTCGACGTACGGTCTGCGATCCAGTTGTTTCATTAGTGAGGTCATCATTCTAGCGAATTCCGGAACGACAAGCGCGTCATCTTCGAGCAGCATCACGTACCTATCAAAAGCAAAATGGTGGGTATAAACTTCAAAATCTTGGCTTTATAATTACTTATTTATTTATCGTGAATTGAACTCGAATTGGACAACTATAGTGAACCAGTCGAAAGAAGCCTAACAGGATTGAGTTCGATGAAAAAAATATTTCGATAAATTGGATCAAGTTAGTGAAACCTGAACTTCTCAGGGTCAAAAAATGGTTACGCGCACTAAAGGAGATGTTCTGAATTCCTACATGGCCACTGTGTAGGAAAACCGGATTTCAAAATTTGCTATTATGAATGCTGGTCACGAGAGGGGGTGGTATGGGGGCAAGATGTGGTTCTTACCAAGCTGATCGAATCCAGGATCGTAGGTCGTCCGGCCAACTACATAGGTCTCCCATCCCTCCGGAATTGGTTTATTGATACCAGGCTTGTGTGGTACACAAACACTGACTTTCACATCGGCTGGCACCGTAAGTCATCGTACATATATGGGCCCAACCGCATTCAAAATAGAGCTACGATTCTGGATGGATGTAGAATCCGTGACGCATTCTAACGAAATAATTAACCAAAGCTGAATGTTTCATCATTTTTGTCCCGAATGTAGGTCGCATAGGCCTGTATGAGAGTACTGATTATCTTGGATCACTTCATGATTATCACTTCACCAAAAGTTAGGAAACCGCTATGTCGTGCAACATTGGACTAAAATGTTTAGCGCTAGAGGTGTCCAGTCGCACTTCCAATCCCTTCGGGAATCTGATGCACAGCGTTTCACAAGGAGGCATTCATCCCCTTAGGGGGGAGGAGGGGACATTCAAAACAGGGCCTATGGTGAGTGGCACTGGGACCAAGTCCAAGAGAGGTGAGAAGCGTCAGGGAGAACAAAAAATTACTGACGTCCTCTCCCAGGATCCCTTTCTCTTTGAGATTGGGTCTCAAATATTGTAAAAGTCATACCCACTTGACTATCCCCCCTTTCCCCTACGACATGAGTGCCTGCAGAGATGTTCCTCTCCACGTTATCTTGTTCATCGTTTTGTCCCATTCATGTAGTAATTGATCAGCAATCACTTATTTGAATACCTCGCTTTTGTTGTTCGATTGAGGCATTTCCAGTAGTCGGATGCCTCTTTTGCTATAGAGGCATTCAGCGGGAGTTGTCGTGAGCCAGTTTCTGGAAGTGGATTTGTCATCGTTCGAATAAATAGACAGTTGGTATCTCTTCTCAACATATAAGTAACAACTAGATAGAAGGGAAGACAACAAGAACAAATTGCAAGAACAAGTTCGATTGTCGGATTTGCACAATCCTTGTCAAAATGGATATTGAAATGATCACGGATTCGAGATCTATCCAAATATGCTGATATTTTTGATTTTCCAACCCTACGATCGAGAATCCTAGTCGCACTGGAGGGTTGATGACGGTGTTATGTCCGCAGGTATTGCTATTGGCAAGCAGAGACTCAAACTCCGAATTTTGCAAAAATAAGGCTAAAAATTCGAAGGAAAGCCGAAACGAACTAGACCGTTGGATTCGCCTTGGCAATTGCTATCTAATGGTTCCAAACTCAAATCATTTAAACCATTTTTACAGCAGTTATGGCGAAGCGGCGGATTGCGGCGGACTAATGCGCCGAATTCTGCCTATTTAGCAAAAATTAGGGGCGGTATTGTAGTAGTTAATCATTTGCGTCATTGAACCATAGAGAAATCTTATAGGAGAAAGCAGTATAATGGTAAAGCGAAAGCGATTAGGAGGTCATTGATCGCCTCGGGATTCAGGTGAAACTTACTGCTGATTATTCGAATTGGTATGTGGAGCTGGAAGCGCCGTAACTCTTCAAACACCACCGGCTCTACGTTGCATAGCTCGAGACTTGGCGACAGTCGCCTATGGGATTGATACGAATCAATTAGAAACGCGATAACCTATAAAGGAAAACACTGCAATAAGTTGGCCCAGTGTGGAATTCAATGCAGCAAAACGTTTT